GTTGTGATAAATATATTGAAATCAACACAGGAGATCGACTCTTCGTTATCAGGAGAAAAAAGTGTATTAAGATAGAAACGTGTGATGTTATGTCATGTCGGCAAAAAGTGTTTATCGACATGACTGTAAAAAAAACTGACTAATCCAGAGGAAAGAAGGGTGTGCAAAAACAAAAAAGTCAAAGTTATGTAGAAAAAAGCAATGTATGAAAGAACGTGAAGAAGTTTAACAACTAAAACATACGTTTTGAGAATGAAATTGAAAGTGAAAAGAATAAATGAACTGCACGAAAATTAAACTTTTATATGGAAAAAAGCAAAACAAGAAAGAATAAAGCAGATAAGAAATAATCCAATAAAAACACACACACACTTCGATATGCATTATACACAGTAAAAACTTAAATATGAAAAAACTCGAGATTGTATAACAAATACAGAACAGAAAAAAAAATTTGGAACATGTTTAGAATATTACGAACGTAAAAATCCCTGAATTGAAATTAATGTCATTTGAAGTTAAGTGTTCAGGATTCCTATCCACAAAGCTTCCTTTATTTATTTGTTCTTTTCGGATTAGTGTAATGAAGTTTTATAGTCTTAAGTAGTCTTTATTTTTTCTCATGTTGATAGTAAATGTTTTATTTAGCGTTTTGCTATGAAAGTAGTTGTCTAGCTTATTCAATATAATTGAAGTTATACTTTGGTGAATGAAAAATATAAACAGCATTTTCTGTGATGCTTTGTGATAAATTTTGTTATATTATTACACTTTTGGTTACCTTTATCAGAGAATTGGTCAAGAGACTTCATAAATTTTCAAGTATGGCTAGGATTATTTCTATTTGATGGAGGGATTACTTGATCTTAGTGTGAACTAAGAATGATGTTGATGATGTGTTTATAGGAATGACAAAATTTATTTTCGATTGTTAATTTAGAGAGGGCGTGGTAGATTATGTTTCTGGTAGGTGAAATTTGAGGGAAGTTTTCACAAAAGGATTATTTCACGGAATCGTGACGTGAAACATTCTTAGCTTTCTCTATTTGCTTATTCTCATTGTTGTAGTTTAAGCTTCTTTTGTTAATAGTTGGTTTCAAGGAATCAATGTAACTTTCGTAATTGTTACTGTAAGAACAGATGATTTTCATTCTGGGGCTTGGCTAACGCAGTATTAAATTCGTTATATAGAAGGCGGCAGCTTTTATGGCGCAGGTACACTCTGATCTATCTGTTGGCTGCTGGTAGAGATCTGTACGTAGACATAAACCTCTCAGAGTACCATTTATGTTCGTGAAATTGACTTGACTAGGAGAGAATCTAAAATGAACTTAATAGAACTTTGAAAAGAGTTAGCATGTTCATGAAAAAACTGGAGGTAATATTTGTTTCCTACGTTGATGAAAAAAAGATGTTGTTAACAGAGTATGAGCACGTTATATTAAAACGATTTCGGAGCCTCATCACACCGACCTCTGAGACTTATCAGTGACTCACCGAGAGAGGGGGGGGGACTAAGACTGCACAATACGCTCATCACATCGATATAACCCTGGACTTTATCATTATAGACCCTCAAGCTTACCTCTGAGCCACCGGTGGGCATAAAATAGTTTGTTTTGTTGTTTAGCAAACGGTTACACAATGAGCCCACCGAAGGTGTTGCGATACAGCGAAGCCGTGATACGATTGTATCGATACACCGTCCGATACGATACGATTTATGTATTTTCACGAAATTTGGCAAACTTTCAGTAAACATTATAAGTCTTTTGTAGAGAAAAAATCATCATTTCTAATAAAGTATTTTTGCTAAAAATTAATGATTCAATAAAAGAAGATGAGTATTGATTACTACATGTTGTCTTCATTTCTTTTATCAAAAACCTTACATGCAAAGTAACATAACAAATTAATAATAACAAAATAGATAGATATTAACTTTGTTTTATTTTACTTCTCTTGCCAGTTGCCATTTAGTTGATCAAACCTGAGAATTTGAAGAAGGCACTATAAAGTGTAAAGTACTTAAATAAGACAA